CTATACTATGACTTTTTATGCCTTACTGTATTATGACTTTTTCTGCCTTACTATACTATGAAGTTATCGCTTTTTATAACAGTGTATTTTATGACTTTTTATGACTTTTTATATCTTTTTTATACTCTGACTTTTTATAACAGTGTATTTTATGACTTTTTATGACTTTTTATATCTTTTTTATACTCTGACTTTTTAAGCCTTACCTTAATATGACTTTTTCTGTTCTTATTATACCTAATTGCTTCTCTCTTTTTTTTTTTTTTTTTTTAATTCTTTATTTAGGAGTGGCAGTACATATCACAAAGGCAAAGGCAGTAGCATTTTTCTCTGCCACCCAGCTTTTACATTTTAAGTACAATTTAGTAATTTAAAAAAAGAAGGAAGAAAGAAAAAAATCAAACAAAAACAAAACAAACAAACAAACAATAAAAAAAGATAAACCATAACGAATTTTGTTCAGTTTGGAAGAGAAAGTGTGCACATACATATCCATAATGTCCTTACAGGAGAGAAGTGACCAACATGATTCTTAGTTAGGTGGTGGTGGTGGTGAGGGAGGGGGGTATGGGTAGTCTTCAGCATGTATGGGGGAAGCGGAAGCAGTTCTCAATGTATGGCAGGGGAGAGGTGGATGGGGGGGAGTGGAGAATGATATCAAAATATTGATGGGACAGTATGTATCAGTGTCAATCTTCAGCCATTAAAAAAAAAAAAAAAAAAAAAAGGTGAGAGAAAAGGAGAGACAACAAAACAGGGTTCATTTATCTAATACCTCCACAAACTCTGGGCGTAAAGGTTTCACATATTCAACCCATTTTGTCCAATGTTTAACAAATACATTTTTCTGGAGACGGAGCTAGAACGTAATCTTTTCCATGATATAGATATCATTCACTATGTCTATCCACTCCTGAACTGTGGGGGACTCAGGGAGCAGCCATCGCCTTGTGAGCGCTTTTTTAGCAGCAGTTATCATAATACCAAATAGATATTCATCTGACCGTCTCACAAGGAAGTCGGCCTTTCCTAGATATAGCGTAGAAAACTCAAAAGTCATATCAGCATTGAATATGTTTTTCAGTACTTTGTGAAGCTCTTTCCAAAAGGGTTGTATCCCTGGGCATTCCCAGAAAACATGCCAGTGGTTAGCTCCCTGAAGCCCACACTGTCTCCAACATTTGGTATTACTCACTCCAATATATCCTTTCTGTTTTGGTGTAATGAAGAATCGTATTAGGCATTTCCACCCGAACTCCCGCCATGTGTAAGAATTTGTGCACTTCCATTGGAATTTACATGTTTCGAGCCAATCTTCACTTGTAATTGAGAAATTACCTTCCTCTTCCCATCTCTTTCTAATGTTTTCAGTGGAGTGGGCTTTTTTTGTCCTGAAGCCTTTATACAATCTGGAGATAACACCTCTATTTGAGTCTTCTTGATAGGCACCGATAAGTATCTTCAATATGGGATCACTCAAGTCTGTTTTGTTTTTAATATTATGTTCAAAATGGTTACGTATTTGGAGATACCTATAAAAATCTGATTTTTCAAGCAGTATTCTTTCTTTAAATTTTCAAAATCCTTTAATTGTCCTTTTTTTGTTAAGGAGTAGAACGTCGTTATTTCTTTTGACACCCAGAGTTTGAACCCATGGTCCATTGTGTTGGGCTTTAAGTCAGGATCATAAGCACACCATTGGATTATTTGTAATTTATGGTCTAGTTTATACTCTTCTTTCATCATGCTCCACATTCTCATTTGAGCTTTGATCCATGGATTCTGCAAACAATTAATGATTTTTTTCAAATTTTTGTAAGCTAAAATTGTATGAATTGGGGGATCGTTCTGAATTGAGAGTTCAATATCTTTCCACCTGGCATGAAATGTTGGATTACATATATTGATTAAAGGTTTAGCCTGAGCTGCAAAAAAATAATCTTTAAAATTTGGGAGAGCCATTCCTCCTTCCTCCCTTGAGAGTTGCAGGGTTTTAAATTTCACTCTGGGTTTTTTCCCTTGCTAGATGAATCTGGAAATAAGCTTATTCAATTCGGATAGCTGTTGTAACGGCATTTCTACAGGGAGTGCTTGGAATAAATATAGGTATCGTGGAAGGATGTTCATCCTTACTGAGTCTATTATGTGGCTAAGACCGAGAAAAGAGATGGAATTCCATCTGTGTATATCATCTTTAATTTTTGTTGAAAGAGGGCCATAGTTTATTTCTCCTAATGTTAGAATGTCTTTTGGTAAATATATCCCAAGGTATTTCAAATTGCACTGGTCCCATTTAAGTTGAAATTTCTCTGAGGTGTTTTGAGGCTGTATGATTGAGGGTCAAAATTTGCGTTTTTTGTATATTCAACTTGTAACCGGAGTAACTACCGAATGTTTCTAAAAGGGTCATTAATTCAAAAAACGAGTTAGGGGGGTCACTTAACTATTACTTTTTATGCCTTACTATACTAGACTTTTTATGTCTTATGCTTTACTATACGCTGACTTTTTATGAGTTTTTATGCCTTACTATACTATGACTTTTTGTACCTTACTATACCATGAGGTTTTTTATGACTTTTTATGCCTCATTATAGTATGGCTTTTTATGCCTTACTATATTAAGACTTTTTATGCCTTAATAAACTATGAAGTTTTTGTGACTTTTTATTCTTTACTATACAATGAGGTTTTTATGACTTTTCATGCCTTACTATACTATGACTTTTTCTGCCTTACTATACTATGACTTTTTATGCCTTATCATACTATGGGGTTTTTATGACTTTTTATGTCTTACTATACTATGACTTTATATAGCTTACTATACTATGACATTGGTATGCCATAATATACTATCACGTTTTTTTTATATTTTTATGCCATACTATATTTTGATATTTTATGACATACTATTCCATGACTTTTTATGTCATAATATACTATGACATTTTTTGACATGTTTATCCTTTACTATGATATGACTTATTCTGACGATGTTATGCCTTTCTATATCATGAAGTTTTTTGACATTTGTATGCCTTACTATATTATTACATTTCAGGCCATACTATATTATGATGTTTTTTTGAATTTTTATCCTTTAATATACTATGATGTTTTTTGAGATTTTTATGCCTTCCTATATTATGACATTTTTATGATATAATAAAAAAATTTAAAAAATATTTCAGATTCCATGCACTGCCCCTGCACTTCAGCCTGACACTATTGGTATCCAGAGAGCATGGGATGTTGTCAATCCAGCACCCCTCCTCTTGTTATTTCCGCTCAGCCAGAACAGCTATGGGGTCAGTGCTCCTGTCAGTGCTCTGGAAAATTGAGCTCAAGCAGACTAGCACTGTACCAGCAAGGAAGGAAGGAAGGAACTGAAAGGAGGCCTGGACGTTGAACATGGATTTGCAGAATGGGAAGTAGCTGTTCACAAGGCGCATCTCCAGGGATTACCAAGGAACACACCACTCATATAGTCATCAGGTATTAGCCATCGGTATTTGTGCAGTAAGGAATGTTGTTTTATTGTTATTATGTTTATTCACGTTTTAGCCCATGTGTAACTGATTTTTAACCAATTATTCATATCTTTTAAAAATTTTAAAAGACCTAGTATGGAGCACTATTTCCTGATATTTTGGTTGGGAGTGGCTGGACCATTTTGAAAAGAATGGTGCAATTTCACTCATGTTACTCTGGAGGGTGCCTGCCTCTCTACCTCAGACTGCTGAACTCTCATTAAAACTTCAGACAAACTTTGCACAGGAAAAGGACTCTGGATTTTGTCTTCTATCATTTACACTGGAAGCATATTAGAAAGGGATCTTTTAATGCTCAGTTTCAACAGGAGGGATGATTACAGCAAGAAAAAAACGTTTCAGTATTCATATGGGTATGTGAATATAAATGAAACATTTAATAAATGGTTTATAACACAGTATAAAGTATTTCTTGTATGTCGTATGTCTTGTAGACACATTTCATATAAGACACATATATATATATATACATATATATATATATATATATTTAGTCATTCAATATCCGTTTATAAAGCAGCCTCAACTAATGTGTCCAGAGGAGAAGTTATATCTTTTATCTGCTGACAACTAAAGGGTAGTGTGTTATAAACCATTTATTAAATCTTTATATCCTGCTCATAAAGGCTAAGTAGAACCTATATTTTATGAAACAAAGTGAGAAAATAATATAGTTTGGAAAGAAAGAAAAAAAGAAAGCAAGCAAGCTTATTCAAATTAAAGAGAGCAATAAAGACCATTTATGTGGGTTTGTCTTGGTTGTAAAAATATCAGTAGCAAATCAACAACTGAGTTTCCTTCCACAGGAAAGCAAACAGGGCTGCTTGGTGAGATAAGTTCTTCACTTCCCAGAGATGTGCGCTACAGAAATTGATCACACCCCTGTGGTTCGTAGTACAAGGACTTGATTTCTTTTTAGTGCTCCCACAAATTAATTCCATTTGCTAAAGGTATTGTATGTGCCTTTCAATATTTTCCACAGCTGCTTTCCATCTTAGTGTTGAAACTTAAGTCACATTAATTTTCTTTTTTAATCTAGTGTGCGTGTGCGTGTGTTTGTGGGTGAACATGGGCGTGGGTGGTTGGGGTAGTTGCTGTATTCCAGGGAGAGAAAACTGAAAAGATTGAGGGCTTGTCTAAACAATGTATCTGAGCAACACACTAGACCATCCCATTCCTGAACTGTGAATAACATCACAAATCTTTCTATTCAAGTTTGATCCTGCAATGCTTTGCTCTCATTTCTGTTACAGCGGTCTGTGTAGATTATAGACAGAGACAAGAAGATGCCCTTTAAAATGTGGGATGGAAGAAAACTGCTTCTTGCTACAGTCATTTTCACATCTCTCTACTACAGAGTAAGTATTATTCGTCTTACAAATGACCATTCAAAACTTGAGATGTTATGTTAAGAAAAATAATCTCTTCTCTTGAAACTATGTTTTCATTTCCATACTCCATTAAAGCTGGCTGCAAAGGAGACAAAACTCCTGGACATGGCCAAAGATGCTGTTGATGCCTTGTACAGTAACTGCCATAAAGAGACCAAGGAGAAGCTTATCAATTCAGGCATTTTAGAAAAAGAGCTAAACCAGAGTCAGGGCTTCAAGAAAGCATGGAATTCAAACCCCCAGTGTGAACAGTGGATGCCAGGAGGAATAAAAGAAGAGAGTCTTGCACTTTCGGCATATGTTAAAGGGGATGAAGACTTTCTGAAGACCTTCAACGACAAAGTGGAGACAATGGGTGTAAATGTTAGCACCTATGAAAACCACTTCCATTTCAAGTCTCTTCACTTCCTGCTCATGCGTTCCATGAAGGCAAACAAATGCAAGACTGGATATTTTTTATCAGACCAACAATACATGGCAAACGTAGGCTCAAAAGTGAGACTTGGACAGTTCAAGGAAGTTGAGGTAGACTTTAGTAAGTTTAAGGAATTTGAGGAATTCGATGGGAATTTCATTGTAAACATCACTTCTTGCTTCTTTGTCAACCTGAATGACAACAATTGTACCAAGGACATTGTCAGTAAACTCTTGCTATCTCCAGCTGAAGTGTTCACCGTGGAGAGTGTAAATGACAAAGATGATGGTTCTTCTTTGTACAAGGAGATTGTTTTGAAACATTCCAAAGTGGAGAGCCATCACGACTGCTACATTTCACGGTAAGACACAATTTATAAAATGAAATATGTTGCTCTATCCCATGATTATTAACAAAAAATAAGCTCTGAATCATGAGGTTGTACTGTCTGTGATTTCTTTATCAAAACTGTGTATGTGATCATTGAAAGTTACACAGTTCCGAATAATAAATGAGAAATTGTTTGCCGTCGAATATTTGTAATAGAGAGACCATATAGTTTTATCTGACTGTATGTGACTTTGAACTGCTCTTCACCCAAAACAGTCCCCTGAAGTTCTAAGCCCATGTAATGGAGAATAATATATTTTAAAGGCCATGAAAATTAAATTAAATCTTTGTAATTTGGAATAAAACAGGATTTCGGAATCCACTGTGGAAATGATGCCTTTATGTGTGGGTGTGGCTTGACCCGATGCGACTGGCAGTGCTGACAATATTACCAAACTAGAGTGGCACTCAGTGGAGTGCATACCTCTGCCAAGGCCAAACAATCTGTCTTTAAGCCTTATATGCAACACAGTTGTGTGATTTTATTACCCGTTATGTGAAATGACGACATCAGCATTATACAGTTCATCCAGATTTATAGCTGTATGCATGAATTGTCTCACTGCTATGTTGCAACCACTCTTGTTATTGTGTAATTCTATTAGTTGCATTAATTAAATACTGATGCAAGCATTCCTAAATGCTGCTGGTGCCACATGCACTGTTACTTACTCTTAAGAATTAATTCAGTAAGAATTTTTAAGATTTTTTTTTTTTTTTTTTAAAAATCAAGATCAGTACATTATTTCCTGAGAAATAGATGAAAATGTTTGGGTGAAATTTTTAGGGAACGTTAAGGAATATGATCCGATTTCTGTTGTTGAAACAACTCGAAACGATTCACAGCCAAGAGCAGAGAACAAACAAAACATAACAGAGAATCTCTCATGTGAAATAAACCAGAAGGTCTTAAGAATTTTGGTAGAAAATTTCATCCTCAAGTAGGAACACCCAAGAAACTGATTGAGAAAATAGATTTTCAGAACCTTTAAGATATTTTGATATCAAAATATATATTCATCTCCGTCTTTGTTTGTCTCTCTCTCTCTCTGTAGGTCTCCAGCGGATGTCTCCAACCAGTGGCTTGTGTTGGTGCTTGTGGCTTTATCTCTTTTTTTCTCGAACTGCTAAGCAAGAACAATTAGCATCTCAGACTGCTGAGACAGCTGAGAGTTAATAAAATGAAAAAAAACACTGCTTTGTTTTTTTTTACAGCTTGAACAATGATAAAACTATTTTGCTGTCATGTCTGCCTGTTAAGGTGCTGAAAGCTTATATAGTTGGCTGCAAATATATACTCATGTCATAGTTTTTTTAATTACTTCTACCACATGCTTTGAACAGATGTCCTGTTTACTTTACTGTATATCATTTACTTATATCAATATTTCTAAAACTAGTCATGGGAGTGGAGTCCCCAGCAAGACGAGAACTGAGAATGTTGCAGTTTATGATTGCCACCTTAATGCCTAAATCACCAGGGTGTATAAGGCAATTTCAACTGATAATATCAGCTTTGACAGCATTTGGGAGAGAGGGTTGAACTTTAGAAATACATAAACAAATAAACTGGTTGAACCGCCCATGTCTTGCCTCCTGCTTTTTTTACACAGCTATGTATGTTTCAGGACTGATCGCTAAGCATCTCTTCATGTGGCAACTATGCCCGACACTGGGAAAGATTTCAAACTCAAAAAGCTTTCACATTATATTTAGGAGGTCCAACAGGATCAATATAACATGATGCTGATCCATGTCTCACAGAATGACAAACATTTTCTGATCTGACACCACTATTATCACAAATAAAAATGTAACACAGTGGTTGTTCAGAGACATTGTTAGTGTTTATAGTATTTTAACATCATATTGCAACAATAAAACACCATTCAGCACAAATGGATATACAATTTTTTTTTTTTTTTTTTTTTTTTTTTTTAAAAATCATAGATACAGTAAATAGTAACTCTTATAAGCCCCAAAAAAGTACATTTTAAAATGGCACATGCTTTCTCCAGCTAAGAGAAACAGGGTGAGCAGCAATGCTGCAGTTATTGTTGATGTAATCCACTGAGTAATGGTCTGATGGCATTAAATACACAGTATGTCTACAGTAAGTACAGCATTTAATCAAATACATATACTATGTTATATAATAGCGTGCTGTGAATATTAAACAAATGTGATTACAAAATGGCAAACGCAGCTTAGCAAATATTATGATGTGTGACAAGTGAATGCCTTTGAGCTCAGTCAGTTACCTTACCAACAAAACAGAAATGTCACTTATAGTTTAGGTACTTGTTCTTACAGAGGTCTCTGAGAAGCAGTATTGAATAATGGACCTTTGTATGACACAAAAATAAAATAAAAACATATCAGAAACATCTAAAATATATAAATATAATTCAGACATTTAAAATATGTTCGCTCAAACCACCAACCATATTTTACCAAAACATCAATAGTTTTTAAATGATTATCAAAATTAATCAAACCCAATAAGGTGCAGTACACAAGCATATATACACATCATCCCTTTAGGAAAATATAATCAATGAAATGCTGTGTTAATGAAATGCTGAACACTTTCCTACAATAACAATGTTAAAAATCCACATATACATTAATCTCATGCTGACTGGTTGGATTTTGCAAAATTGCCTCACATCATTTGGTCTATTTACACAAATAAGTCCAATACATACAAATTAAGATTTCTAACTTACGAACAGCAGCATTTTATGACTAAAAACAAATGAACTTTTCAAATCAAAAAACAGCATGTCAGAAGATATCATATTTTGTATAACACTATTTGTCAAAACAATTCAAAATGTATTGATCAGTTTTGATAAAGTGAAAAACAGATCTCCATCACTGCTGACATTCCTCACTCAGACACACTGTAGAGAGCTAAAAATCAACTGTACACAAGGCCCAAGTGTTGGTGTAGTGCAGGGGTTTGCAAAGTCTAATAGCACTGGGGATCCACAATCAGAATAAAGGTGAGATAACTGCCACCCGATCTCCTACCCCTCCTCCAACATGGGCAGTATAATGTTGCCATGGATTCAGTGTATGCTTATTGCAACAAAATCAGCCTGATTAGTTAGCCTGTATTTCTTTACAGGAAACTGGCATCATTACAAGTATGCAGAATAAGCTCTTAGCAGCTCTTGTTTAGAGTGTACCCATGGATTTACAGAAAACTATCACTGCATTACTTTGACGATAAAGAAAACTCAAGAATTCTCAGGCAATGTTCAGAGATAATGACATCCTCGGAAAGTGTAAGTCACAATATTCTAAAATGATGCGTATCATGTATGGTTTCAGATTAAAATACCCTTAAACTGGAGTATGTAACTTTTTTTCTTTTTAGATAAAATGTGCTCCAAAACATATCTTCAACTCTCCCATGCTCTCCGAAGGAGGCACACCTCACAGACTGAAAACCGCTTTTGTAGTGTAAAAATGAACACTATTCCCAGATTTCACCACACTAATCCAAATTGATTAATATTTATTGGCTTTATGAGTAAACAACAAGAACCACTAAAATCAGCATTTGTCAACTCAAAATACATAATAAAATAAAACCCAGTGAGAATTCACCTGGAGTGTGTCACCTGGAGAAACTAACCGTCTTCATTATTGGGCTCAGAGTTGAGTCTTGACCGGTTACCACGAGAACAAGTGCTCTTGTCTTTGCTGAGGATGCTGGTGTCAACCCGAGAGAGGGTGCACATGCTGCTCTCGTGACCCGGTCGAAGTCTTGTATTTTGGAGCTGTAGCTCATCATAGCTCGAGACCCTCACAAAAGGACACCAGCGGAAAACCTGCTTGAAACCAGTGCGGAACCTGCAGCCAAATCAAACCCTGACGTGTAAATATGCTGTTGTGTTCACAAACAGTGCATACATGTGTGTTTTGGGGTTGTGGTGTATATGTACTCACCTGTTGTTGAGGCAGCAGTAGATGATGGGGTTGTACATGGTGGAGCTCATTGCCAGCCACAGCACTGACAGGTAAACCTGCTGGATGTACTTCCACTTGCTCAAACGCTTGTTAAGACCCGTCACAATGAAGAAGACATGATAGGGAAGCCAGGAGAGGGCAAAGGTCGATACCATCTCCGTCTTTGTTTGCATGAACCGCCCATGTCTTGCCTCCTGCGAAATGCAAAATTTATCAACAGAGGATCCCCCCAAGTTTTAAAAAAAAAAAAAAAAAAAAATTTTAAGATGTCACAATAAAAGCACAGGAGTAAATAGTATAGATTAGATGAGCTTGGCTAAGAGTACAGCTCTTTCCAAAAAGGGATTGTTTAGATTACATCACTCAAACAAACTGAAAGCATATTGGCTGAGTAAACAGAACATTACAAGTCACAGCAAACAAAGGATTATGGTAAATGCAGTTGTCATTAGATTTACCTGCATATGAAATAAAACTCTTATTTAGCTGTATTTTTGTAGGTCCTTACATATAAATCTATATATGTAAGGGCAGTTTTAAGGAAAAAAAAAAATTTTGTAATGACTTTAAACTCTCACTGTGATTTTGGATGTGTTGAAACCATGGCAGCTCTTTAAGTAGGGAGTTTGTTGTTTATTTCCCTTCATTGTGATCATAATGACATCCCCATTCAGTGAGAATGGATGCCGTATGAAGAGAGGGAAAGGTCAATGATGACACACCAGACCCAGCAGGGCCCAGGTAGGACAGATGAGAGAGCCACAGAATTCATTAGTGTGTTGCAGCACAATACAGAGCTGTGGGGGGTTAAAAAGGAGCAGGCGACTATTATACCATCAGCAGCTAATGGGCAAGGCTGTGATGAGAGCGACTTGCTCCTATCTCCAGTCCAGATGGAATCTTGTCATCGTCGGCCTTTGAATCAAGCCTGACTGTTTTGTACCTTTGTTTCCTGATATTTATAAATCTCTGATTTTCCTCGGCTCAATTTTGCTGGTGATCTGAGCCTCTGATTTTTTTTTTTTTTTTTTTCCCCCCCTATGAAGCTCTCTAAAAGATTGTAAATGACAAACCTGCACCTGTTGTTCTCTTTTTTTTTTTTTTGCGTGTGTGTGTGTGTGTGTGTGTGTGTGTGTGTCTCCAAAACAACAGAACAAAACAAAAAAATGCTAATCTCAGTCTAAGGGGGAATCTATCCCCAAATTAGTTTTATTTTGAAGTTCACATTTTTTGCTTCCTTCTTGCTTCAGTTTATGGGATAAATATGAGTTTATTTAAGATGAAATTGATCGGTGAAATTTGGTCAATGACAAAAAAAAAAAAAAAAAAAAAAAAAAAAAAAGTTGCTGGTCCACAGATTAAAGTTTGTTTTTTTTCCCATCCATAAAATCCTTTTTACTGAATAACTTCCACAGAAAAACCCTTGTCATGTCTGAATAATCTGGAATATTTGATATTTATTGATAAACTGTATTCTTTGACATTAATCCTAGAGCCGTCTCGATAGATGCTCGTCATGACAGCTGTGATGACCTTAATCCCTTAACCCGACCCTCACAGTGGCCGCTGCAGAGCTCACTGTGTAGTCTGGCTGACGATGCCAAACTACAGTAAAACAAGTGCCTCTGGATGCTTTCTTTTTCTTCTTGGCTGCAGCTGCAACTGAACAAGCTGTGTATACTGGTGCATGACAACAGATAAAGTGTACTTGCACTGATACGTTTGCGCTGTATGTGGTTTTGGGATAAGGAATTAATTAGAATTATAAGAGAATGTTAATTCCCTTCACAGTACTGAACTAATTTGCTATGCAGAGCTGCGTGACACATTTTACTGATCTCAGCTGATAGTCATCCACACTCTTTGTTACACTGATGATCACTTTGGTTTTAGGTGGCTGTGCGATGTTTTTCTGCCTGCTCCCCAAACAGCAAAGGTCCTTCTCAACACAGAGGCTTGTTTCTGTTGTGGACTGTTGTCCCTGCTGCTGGGAGATTATAATGCAATAATGAGAATCCATTAAAGTGTTTTTTTTTTTTTTTTAAATCTGAGATGTTAAGGTTTTGTTGTTATTCTTGTCACCATTTATTCGCTGCAATAAGGGAGGGAGCTTGAAAGCCATTTGTGAATAAGCCTATTGCATTTTTTTTTTTTCTTACTTTTTTTTCTTTCCTTTTTTCAAGGGGGAAAAGCTTCCCAAAAAAAAAAAAAAAAACCTCAGTCCTTGATCAGCCTCCATGTTTTGTTGCACTTGTACTCAGTCCCATCAGCAAAGGCTGTCCTTGAACAAGTGCAAACTGTCTTACTGTGGACTACCAGGTAAGTACAAACATGAAATTGAACTAGAGTCGCACTTTATATCTCAGTCAAAACCTTATGTACATGTGTGCATGATCTACCTGTATTCTTCCACTCCAAAAACACAAGCTAAATAAATACATGAAATAAACATGGTGTTTATACCTTCCGTTTGGCTCTGAGCTGTCCATGATAATTATCAGATGAGTCTCCCGGGATCTCCCCTCCCCACAGCGTCACCCCCACGATGGTGTAAGTGATGCCCATCACCACTAAAGGCAGCAGGTAGACCAGAACTGTCACTATAATATGATACCTGCACAAGTGAGGAAACAAATCACCAGTATGTTTTAATACAGTGACAAGCAGGATATGCAGTTAAGGTTAGACACAATCAGATGATGCAGAGAAAAATAAATATAAGAATCAAGATGATAGCCCAGCTTTGCCATGATAATGATAATGATAATGAAGCCTGACACAAGCAAGAACAAAGGGCGTTGTCAGTGTGTCTGTATTCTCACATGAAGGGGTCGTCGGCCATGCGGGGCCAGGCCACATAGCAGAGGGTCCTGTGAGGCAGAGTTTTTGTGGTGGAGAAGTAGCAGAGAGGGAAGGCCAGAACCACGGCCAGACTCCAGATGCAGATGATGACTCCCATAGTGGCCTTCGCCGACAGATGAGGCTTCAGAGGGTGGATAATGGCCATGTACCTACAGGGCAGAGGTCGCAACATTGTCATGAGCTGAAAATTAATACAAGCAAACACAGACATCACAAAAATATCAGTTTCTGCTTGTTGGGCTTAATGCAAGTCCTGTAACATGAGCATGGCGGTTTAGAGACATGGCCATTATCACAGTGGGCATTTTGCAGAATGGGTCACTGTGACTCACGATATTTGTTAATGATTGCCAAGTTTTCCATTTTTTACAAATGAATATTTGATCATAGCTTAAGCAAAAACATACAAATAAAACAATAGAAACTTCTTCCAGTATGAAATAGAGGTCAATACATGCATGGTTTATACTGCAATTAATGCAAATGTAAAAAATCCTTTAATTTTCATTCACAGCTCTGCCAGTCTTCAAATGAAACATGGCCTGAACAATCAAACATTAAATTGCAGGCTGTCCTGAAATACGTAAAATAAACTGACAAATTTCTGAATTCTTTAAATTATTGTATTTTAATTAGTATGATGTGGAGGCAGATACTTTTATAGAAAAAGAAAAAAAAAATCATTGCAAAAGCCATGCCTGCTGTATGATATGAAGTTCCTCACCCAGACATACCTGTCGATGGCTATTGCAGTCATAGAGTAGATGCTGGCGAACACAGCGGTGACCGGGAAGAAGTTGTGAAACCTGCAGTACACCTCTCCAAAGTACCACTCTCCATGAGCCGCGTAGATGAAGTTGATAAGCGTGTTGAAAGCGGCCATCGAGACATCAGAGAAAGCCAAGTTCAACAGGAAATAGTTGGTCACGGTCCTCATCCGCTTGTGCGCCAGAATGATCCAAATCACAATCAAGTTCCCGAAAACGGCCACTGCCAGCACGGTGCTGTAAGCCACCGACCACAGCGCGATGCGCCACGCCGGCTGCACGAACTGGTTGGTCAGATTTCGGGTTGAATTGGACCCAACCCGTTCAGAGGCCATTCCTCAAGTTTCCCCCAGTCGGGTCTGTGTCAGCCCGCTGCTGGAAGGCGACATAAACCACTTTGGCACCCTTGGTGTGCAACATACGCGCAAGAGTGTTAACATGTGACCAGTGAGGCAGAGAGAGTGTGGTCCTGATGCCACTCCCTGTCATCACTCCCGGGAAGAGAATAAAATCATATAAAACTAGTTCATCTGGTTTTTCTTTCAACCTACAATCACTGATCACATAAAAATTATCAATGAATGAAAATGAATACTTCATTGTCCCTATCATATGAGATAAGTAAGTTCATGATTTTAAGCCGGTTTGGCTCACAATCTGTAATCATGCATCATTAGAAGACATCCACTGACAGTGGCACCCACCTCCATTCAACCTCCTCCCTCAACCTGAGATACACACCTGATAAACAGGTGTGTATTGTAGTCATCAGCCCATGAGACTATAGCAGCTTCTGTTCCTCTTGTAATAACGAGTTTGACCTCATAACTTTTTTTCAGTTCAGAGATGAAACTCTCTCATCTTGTCCTGCATTAGCGCTGTCTGGAGCCTTGGATCAGTCCGAGTGTGATACAGTTAATCCTTAATAACCATGACATGAAAAGAAAAGCTTATAGCTTCAGGATTTTATGCAGGTTTGTCTGCATTATGTAACCATAAGCTCAGTGACACAGATCAAGGCCATTAAGTGTTGGACATAAGGAAAGGTTGTTTGCTCACTATAAAGGTCTCTTCATGTTCCATATTCAAAAGTGTCAGTTTTGTATAAACATATCCAGATTTGTTCTGAACTGACAAGAGGTTAAGATTGAATCTATAGTGTGAAGCACAAGAAGAAAAGCTCTTAACAATAAGAATGCTGCAGTCCTTAATTACCATATTACTCCAACTCCATTAATATTTTATTTTAGTCACATCATGATGATGGAATTCAAACATTAAAATTCAACAACTGTTGAAATTACTGGAAAATCAGAAATAAAATACAAACTTCTGTAGCTATACGGTCGTTCAAATGTCTGAGTGTGTCCACTCACTAAAAACAACATTTTTCTGAGTCATGGTCAGGGCTGAATTTTTATTTGACTCCATAAGACTAAATGTGACTTGAATGCCAACTGAATAAAAAACACATTTTCCAACAGAATTATATTTTGCTGTATGGAAAAAACTTTGGACACAAAACTTTGACCTTAAAATTAGTATAACTGAAACATTAACTGTCTAAATAAAATATGAAGCTTCCAAGTAATTAAAACACAGTGACCATCTTGTGCATCAGGGTGACTCTGACCACAGTATTTGTAAAACCATAGCTATGGCCCTGCTGCGATGCCACTCATACAAGACCTCAGTTTACTCTGCTCAGCTTCCTGTTTTATTGGGCATTTAAATTCCTTAAACTCATTCTGCTGTATTTGTGTGTATAAATAGCAACTGCCTCACAGAGAAAATACCCAATTAATGTGTTTTACTCCTGCTTGTTACTACTGCCAGTAACTGCACCGGCTGCACTTGTTTTTATGAGCTGCATTGTACAATGTGTTCTTTCACTTCCATGCTCTTATTGCCAGTTCTGGCCTGTATAGTATAGTCTGGACATAGACTGGTAGATTCTGAGTTTACGGGTCAGTCTCTTTAGAGCACGCAAACATTGACAAGTTGCGCACACTGTCACCGAGACCACAGGAAGGTCAAAAAGTCTGTTTCCTCCCAGCAAGACCTCATTACCTGGAGGTCACCTTATTTTGGGGCCACTCCCTAGCTCAAATGTCACTGTTCAAACCACTTCTAAACACACCCTGTCCTCCATACTAAAAAAGGTCACAAGCTATTAACCGGCAGCCGATAACATCATTAGCTGTATCCAAAGTTATTTTTCCTCTATTTTTTTATGAATAATTCAAGTATCATTTAATCACAAGCGGGGTAACAGCAGGGGGCGATGAGTGTGTGTCTTTGTCTGATCTATGTGTTATAGGAGGAAGTTTTAATCTGTGCAAAGCAAATAACAGTGAAATTGACTGACAAGACAGGTTTGATATAAGAGTGCATCCTGTGGAGAAAAGTAAAGATGCTTTCAATCATTTTATGACCTTAAGACCATTAATGTGTATAAACATAAGTAGAAAACATTAAACCTGCTCCTGAAATGACACTGAATAACTCAAGATTTCATCCACCTTTTGCCATCTGCATTACATTTGTTCACTGGGAATGTGTCTAAACTAGAAACAGAGCTATCCAGGACTCCCCTGCTGCTTCATTAGATGGTTTGTCTCTTCCTCTGTCAGCTCATAAGCAGCAAAAGCTTCACATTGTCAGTTTTATTGTTGTTTTTCCCTGAGACACCGGTTTGTAAATTCCAGGATGTCCGTAAGCAGAGGGGCAGTGATGTCTCATCTTGTAATGTGACTCACAGAAGGGAAGAACTGAACCCAAATGCAGCTAACTCAATGAAAAATGTTTAATAAACAGAAGAACTTACAAAAACTGGTGAACCAACCGAACAGGAAGCCAAAGCACGAGGCACCACTGGGGACTTAAACAGGTACAGAAGCGCAGGGGACTCGAACAGATGAGCTGACCCAGACAAAGGGGAGCACAGAGACTAAATAGACACAAGGGAGGCAAGGGTGATTGAACACAGGTGAAACACATTAGGGCGGGGCAGACAATAATCACCAAGGAGGGAAACAGGAAGTCAAAACATCAAGAGACACAAGGAAAGTAACTACACAATAAAACAGAAAATGACTAAACTAAAAGTGCAAACATAACACAAAAGCTCAAACAAAAAATGTCCATCATTGCAACCCATGACAGTGACAACAATGAACTAATATAAACGTGTTTTTCATCAGTGTAAAATGAATATCTTTAAATGATTTATTTCTGAGGCATATGTGTTTTTTGTGAAACATCGATTCAAATGCAGAAAAATCTGAATTGGTACATTTACTCAAGTACTGTATTTCAGTTCACTTTGAAATGTGGTGGAGTGGAAACCATTGGACTAAACTATTGAACGATGTATAAAGAAATTAGCTCCACTTCAACCAGCTGCAACAGTAAAATGCTGTATGATGCACTTAAGTACATTTGACTAATAATAAACTTGAAATGCAGGATATTTACTTGTATTGAAGTATATTTACATTGTTGCGTTGGTACTTTTAGTTTTAGTAAAGTCAGTGTGAATACTTTTTCCACCACTTCACAACATTAGGAAAGATTTTAGGACAAATCATTTAGTCATACTCAATTTACTCAAATCACATTGAACTAAAGTGATTTTCAAAAAAGCAACCAACAAAACATATTGGACATCAATCCATATAAAATGGCAATAATAGTAATGCTCAGTTCTAGTTCAGTAAATATTCGCAGAGTATGAGACTGCCCCCTTTTACGCCACCTACTGGTGGCATAAGAATGAGACCGATCAGACCTGGGAACTGTGAAGAAATCAGTAGAAAACAACACATACACGACACCAACTTTCACCAACAATGTCCTGTGTTTTTATATAAACAGAGGAGTATGCCATCAGAATCATTTTAAGGGTAATCAAATGACACAGAACTCACGATATGATAGCTTTAAGTTGTTATATTTGTTAGATATTGTCGTGTGTATATGTGAGCTATCTGAGGGTGAGTCTGTTAACTGATCCTGGAGTCAGCACTGATGCTATTCTTATCATGTGAGCTATAAATACATTATGATAAACTGGTTTCCATTACACAGTTTCTAGTATACGGTCAAACATCAGGAACTACAAAACATATGACAGTCCAGTTATAGAAATAACAATAAAGGCAGGTTAGTTATTTTTTGTCTCGTGTAATATTTTATTTTTGCACCTTAAATAATTTCAGTTTGTGAAAGCTCTCTGTCATCCTAAATGTCCAAAATGTGTCTTCCTGTTTAGTTCTTATTCCTCAGAAGGAATCACATATAAATTATCCATAAAGACATTAGGACACAGCGCTATGCAAAGGTTATATTCTCTCTTGGCACAACAAAGAAATCATTCAGCCATCAGTCAATATTGTTATGCCTGTATTTATTGTTGTGTTTGTACAGTGACTACCATAATTAGGTGAACATAATCTGTTTACATGCAAAATAAAGCTGTATAACACAAATTATTTAATGTTTAAACAAAAAGCTTAGATGGAAGTTGTGGATAAGAATAAAGAACAAAAACTGTGAAATTTAGCTTGGTCTGTGTTTTGTACTATAACCTTCATTGTAACTGTATAAATGAAAAAATACATTTTGATCAGTTGAAGGTCAAATATCAAGAGTTCAAAGGTCAACACAGAGTGAGAGGCTAAATGCTGAACAACGACATTTGTCCCCTCTGTCTCGTATCTTTTCAGTTCATGACAAAGCGAAATTAATTAAAATGAATCGAAGTGAACTGAGAGAAGGAGGAGGATGACAGACTGAGTAACAGAATGAACGAGTGAGAGAGAGGAAGCAGCTTATGATGAAGAGACTAATCCGACAGGATTACATGTCTAAATGCAGTTTAGGACTTCTCTTGAGAGAGAGAGAGAGAGAGAGAGAGTGAGAGAGAGAGAAATGGAAGAGACCTGAAGGCTTATGTGGAGGGGAATGACATGAAAGATGTGAGGTAATTAACATTTTAGCATTTCATAGATTAGTGTTTCCCAGCCTAAGGTTCAGGACCCCTCCAGTGGGACACAAGATGCATGTGAGGGACAGGAAAAACTTTTAAACTTCTGCAACATGAATTTAAATTAATAGTTTTGGTCTGTTTTCTAAGCTTTGTTTTTTGTGAAATATTGGATAGTTGTAATTTTGAAGCATTGAACCTTCATTAAAATGACATAATATGAGAAGTTTAGAGGTAAAGTGATGTAACTCACAGACTTCTGACACCTGTGATGAAAGGTCACCTGTAGACACTGCTTCATTTTAAAAGGTCACAAGTGAAAAGGATTGAAAACAACAGCATCTGATCATGAGAGATGAGTTTGATGAAATAAGATGAGGTTAAAATATACTGATGTTTTTAACTGTGTTGTGGAATTACAGGGTTGAGCACCAAGACAGAACATAGATCATAAATGTTTGCCTGCAAGTTTTTATGCTGCTGTGTTGGCCAGGTCTCCTTTGCAACTGGACTTGGTACAATAACAGTTATAAAGTGTATACAACATATTTCAATCTGATATGAATATGAACTCTGTAATAAACTGGCAAAACCAAAGTTAATGTAAACTACTGTGACAAAACACTCAAACTGTTCCTAGACTTACTTGTGGTATACACATATTTATACCAGTTGTACAGGTGTATAAATGAATGCAAGAATCTTTCCCTTTCCTGTGAATATGAAATATTAAGTCAAGCGTCAACATGTCACTTTGTTCTTTAGATCTTTGACCAGATGTGAAGTTAGCAGCTTATTTTTGTCTTTGTTCACAAAAGGAAAAACATCAAACCCACTCCTTCCTAAAAGCCACAACAAGTGATCATTATTATTAATCATTCTATTAATCTGTTATACCTATTTTATTCTTGTGAGTTGTTTTAGTGTTCCAGCAGAGGCTCTTGTTTAGCATCAGTGAAGCAACTTAGCATATTGTCTTGTTGTTGTTGTTGTTGTTGTTGTTGTTGTTGCTGTTGCTGTTGCTGTTGCTGTTGCTGTTGCTGTTGCTGTTGCTGTTGCTGTTGCTGTTAATGTTAATGTTGTTGTTGATGTGGCACTTTGTGGTTGCACCACAGCCCACAGAGCACTGAGAGTGGCTCTGCTGGTTTGGTAGAAAATAACAGAGCGCGAGTTGCTGTTACATCACATAATGTCTAACTGCTTGAAATTTGATCTGAAGAAACAGCGAGAGGAGGGCCACAGGAAAGAGAAAGCAGTCTGCATCTGTCTGTGAGCTGGTTTATGCTCGACTTTGCATTCATTCATGCCTGTGCATGTGAGAGGTTTATGACTGGAAATTAGCTTGTGTTGTGCCTAGATTGCTGCGCTTGAAGGTTATGAAATACTGTATTACCGCCCGGATACGACTTCCCGTCTAAGTTCAAAGGTTGCTGAAGTTCAGTGTTTGCAGAACAGGGCCGAGTTTGGACAGAAAGGTAAGACTATGCAGCCTCCAGCATTGTTTCTTGCTTGTAGTTTGTGTACAGTTTGTTGCTGGGATTTCTGTTAATGTTTTTCTTGTTGTTCTGAAAATGTAAGAACATGTAAATTGAGCAGTGCAGCACTTTGCTCCTATGCAACATATCAACAAACTAACCCTGACCCTGTCAGCAGGTTGTGAAAAATAAATAAATACCCTATTTTCAAATTCATTTTTCAATTTGTTCCTCTGTGATCAACCTTAGTGTTAAGGCAGCCTGCTGTACCTGAGGCAGTCTAACTTTAGGCCCCTTAATGTGTTTTTTCTTACCCTGCAAAATGTAGCAGTTTCACACGATAAACTAATGCTTTATTATTATTTTGTGTTTCTTTTTCACTGCTTATGTTGTAACAGCTTAAATAAGTTTTAATTAATTTCAACAGACACTCACTGCCAGGTTTGGAACAATGCAGAATTTTCCACCAGTTGAAAAAAGGAAGTAATGATGAAAATGTTAAAATGTTTGTATCCTGTTAACAGACTAAACATGGTTAAAAAGAAATATATATCTACATTTGATATGTATAAATAGGTGTTTTGATAGGATTATTGAATATACTGTTGAGTTTAAACACTTGTAATTCCTTTCATTCATATTAGAAATGTCAGATGTGTTTTCCACTTACTGTTTCACTTCGAACTCAATTCAAATTCAAGAACTAAATGGGAACTCATCATGAGTTAAACTAAAATATCATAATGCAGCAGTTTTCAAAGGAGTGTTTGGGGTTTTCTTTTCTTCAGTGGTGCATGCTCACTCACCAGTTAGGCTGCGCTGATTGTGCAACATTGTTCAAATACTACAAACTAAAAGGCTGCTTTAACAGCCCCTTAAGTTCTTGTATTATGTTTACACTTGAATACAATGTGTATTTAAAGATTAACAAATCTTCTGGGATCTCCTTTAATGTGTCTAAGACTAAGTAAGTCACTTATGAAATGAAATGGCTCACTGACCCTCATCCACGACTTTTGCACTTTTGACCCCAGTTTCTGACCAGAACCTGATCTCAATGAGTCACAGGTTACTCTCAACTGTCTGGTTTATGTATAACAGGTATAACAGGTTTGACACATTTTCGTTAATCTTTGCCTTTACTTTAGACTTGCTGGTTTGCTTAAAGGTTAAATGCAAGATATTTAAGTGAAATACAACAGAAAGAAAACACATCAGTCTCTTTTTTTCCTGCTGACAGATGGAGTGTGTCTCTTTCCCGCCACTGTCCCGTGTAGCCATTTGTGGTGGCACCCATGGAAATGAGATGTCAGGCGTGTATATGGTGAGAGAAATGCAGAAGCAGAAGGTGGAAAAGGCCGGATCTGTCTTTATTACCACTGTCCTAGCAAACCCACGTGCTGTGGATGCTTGCAAAAGATACACAGATACAGACCTCAACCGCTCTTTCACAGACGCCTTGCTGAGGTAAGCTATATACAAACTTTTTAAGAGAGCTGATGATTGGAAATTGGAAGACAAGAGTGTGCTTGTATGGGAAAACTCTTTACTATGTCTTCTGGCTTTCAGTGCCCCCATAACAGATTCAACATCGTATGAGTTGAGGCGAGCCCAGGAGCTGAATGCTCAGCTTGGGCCCAAAGGAAGTGAAGAGGCTGTGGATCTGCTCTGTGATCTCCACAACACCACTGCCAACATGGGCCTGTGCCTCATCTTTTACTCCTTAGACTGGATCACCATGCACATTTACAAATACATACAGGTACAAGCTTCACTGATTCAAGAGAGATAATTTTAGGGATACAATTTCACTTCATGACATGCAGCTTTCTGATTTTGGCTATAAGATTTAGTACAACGAACATAAAATAAAGTGCTGGAACTGCAGGTCTCATAATGCATTTCTTTAACTTTGAATATGTTCAATTCAATAATGCATTTTATTAACATGTAACGTTAAGAATATCCTAATTACTAATGAGAAAGTGTTCAAAAAGTGTCATAGTGTTATCTTAATTTTGATGAAAACACAACAAGTTACAGTCAGGCTACCTGTATTTGTACAGTAACTTTGTTGTGACAAACAACATGGGAAGACATACAACGTTTTGGAGGAATAAGAGTAATCACTGTAATGACAAGTGTCTGTGAGACGAGTCTCACAGTTTTTTTCTTTGTTAATGTAGGAATGCAAGCACAATGATTGACAGCCTGAGCGATACTGGATTTCTGAGGCCAATACCATTATTGATATTTAAGACTTTCAAAATAATTTTTTGCATAAAAATGTTAAATAAGAAACCCTTCAATTAAACTAAAGAACTGTGACCAAGATAAGTACTTAGCAGAACTGTGCAATTGCAATACTGACACATTGACACTAAGCAGGTATAATGTTTACCAGGTTCATCTTCTTTGTTTAGCGTGTTAGCATGTTAACATTTGCTAATTTGCATAAACTGAAAGTACAGTTGAGGTTTATTTTGCAGGTATTTAGTCATAAACCAAAGAACTGGACAAACTGTGTGGTGGAGAGACCAACCAATTTTTTTATTTGCTTCTGTTTAAATCGTCTTTATCATTTGTGCTGTGTACCAGTATTTTGTCATCAACACATGGTTTATGTTGTTTGAACTCCAAACGCATAATTATGGGCTCAAGTCAATAACAATCTGGTCCTGAACCTCACACAGTTCCATGATGAAGCTGTATATAAGTATATGTATTGCATGTTAAAGCTCACAGGGCTGTACTGAAGCGTGCTGTGCTGTAAATAGTTGATCTATTTGCTTTTCAGAGCAAGATAACCTCTGCGCCTGTGAGAGCAATCCAGCTGGATATACCCATCTCTGAGGCTTACTCCTTAGAGTCAGTGGGCAAACATGGCTTTGGTAAGTGTGTGTAATTTTGAGTGTGTGTCTGCATAAAGGTGAGGAGTTTTTTTCTGAATTATTGAATTGATGAAAGCATTAGATTTTTGGATTAGCTTTTCTTGTTCTCTGCAGCAATTGAGGTCGGTCCTCAACCCAACGGTGTGCTCAGATCTGATATCTTTAACATGGTGAAAGAGGCAGTGGACCTCACAATAGAATGGCTTCAGCTATTCAACTCTGGTAAGAAACAAACAACCAATGATATTTAACGAGTGGGATCACATCAATTGAACACACACACAAAAACACATTTTCTCACTTAAAGTTGAAGAGTCATGGTGACCGAGCTTTCACTGTCCTGGCTCCTACGTTATGGAACAATCTCCCTTTGAGTCAGATGAGCAAACTGTTTTAAATCCCATCTCAAAACCTAATCTTTCATAACATATCATTGTCTTTGATTTAAATATTTACTGTGTTACTGTACTTCTGAAAAGTGCTATAGATATTAAGTTTTAACTAAGTACTCATTTACCTCTGGTGGTATCTGACCATGGAGATAATTTTGGTTTTATTCAACCAGGTTTTGAAATAAATATCTGCCTCTGAGATTTGAGCCTCCACTCCACGACAATGGACATTCCAGGACAAATCTAAGAAGCAGGTATCTCAAAATCAGGCTGAATTCAACCAAACTATCTACATGGCAAGATACCACAAGTGATTAGTGATAAAATGCCTTCTTGAAATTTGGTTACACTTTCTAAATGACCTCAGGAACTGTGTAGCTGTGAGCCTCCTGGAGTACACCAGCATTACTACTGACCTTTGCCAACAGGAAGTACTTTTGAAGGAGGTGAAGTTGAAGCATACACTCTGACGAAGAGCGTTGACTACCCAAGGGATCCGACGACCAATGAGATCACTGCTGCCATTCACCCCAAGCTACAGGTACAGGACATCTGGGAAAAGATGTGTGCACACATAAGCCTTCACTTAAATAAACAGTTTGACGTTTCAGGTAATACGCTTATTTGCTTGCTTGTCAAGAGTTAGATGAGAAGACTGATAATACCATATAGAAAGCTAAAGCCAGCAGCTGGAGCCTTGTCATCACCATTGGGTCGTCAGACACGCCAAGAAAAAGTCCGGAAAATCTCCTGGAAAACACAAATTGTTGTTTTTACTTCCATTTTTGTTTGGATTAAAAAAACAGATACATAACATGTTCATTAGTAAGCTTTAGCGGTGCTGGCAGATGGATTGTGTCACCTTTGGACTGTTTCCCAGTTTTCAGTTTTTATGCTAAGCTTTGCTAAGCTAAGCAGCAGCTGGTGGTAGATTCATATTTGCCGTACAGACATGAGAATCATATCAAGCTTCACATTTAACTCTAGGCAAGAAAGCAAAAAACCATATTCCCAAAAATGTTGAATTATCCCTTAAAACAATATTATATATGGTTCCATTTGCACCTTGTATAAGCTTACATAAATCCATAAAGCCAGAAACCTGATTTGGGAAACATTAAATGCCACATTTGCATTCAAAAGCTGCTCTGGTGCATAATGACTCACCTGTTAGTGTTCTCTCTGTCTGCCTCCAGGATAATGACTTCAAGCTCCTCCAACCAGGTGACCCCATATTCCTGTCATTTTCTGGCGAGACTGTGAAGCACGAGGGAGAGGAACTCTACCCTTTCTTTGTCAATGAATGTGCCTACTACGAGAAGAAGATTGCTTTCCATTTAGCTCGAAAGATCACTCTGACCTTCCCGTCTGTTAGTGTGAAGAAGGACTGAAAGAGGAGAGATGCAACGAGATCAACATATACTGTAGTGATTTTAAATCACAATCTAATATAGAATATGCACAGTACTTGTTTTTAATCATCTCAAATGATTCATTAAGTAATACACAAACGTATGCAATGAAGTTTAAATATTCTGCAGGTGCTGGACATAATAACGTGATTACCTCCTTATAATTCAATGCAATAAAGCTGCCCTGCAACAGTACTACCTCTGTGAGGCTAAAAAGGAAGCTCATGTGTAACACCAGAGTTGTTGTTGAGGTACTTGAGTGAATGATATTGCACAGTTACAATCCTCCACCTTCTTTGTATTGACTAGTATTAATTGTTAATGACATTGATCTTTCTTTTGCATCGTGCCAATAATGCAAAACACCATGTTTGAATGGAAATGTGCATCACTTTAAACAAATTGCTGTGTTTTGACTCTTTAAACATCTCTAACTTTTATACAACTGCACTGTGAAGACTTCTTTTAAATTCTTCTTTTATAAAAGGATAGTAAATGATAATAATAAAAAACAACTACAGAAGTGAGCAAATGTCAAATGTATTAATACAATGTGCTTCTGAATACATAAAATCACTTACAAAATCCAGAGTGTACACACATCAGAAGTGTAATAAAACATTGTGATAGAAAAACATCACAATCTGTATTCTGGTGCTGGTACAATGAGTAATTTTGGAATTTGACACACACAAAAAAGTAGTAACTTCATTCACTTTCCACACAAATGCTAATTATAAAGATGTAGATTCAGAAGGATTTGCACTTGCAAATGAAGATTTTGCAAATTCAATTCAAGTCTCTTTGACTTTGAGGTATCGCCAAGACACATCTCAAAGACTTTAATTGATACAAAACCTATATTTGGCTGTCAGACCAGTCAGTCAAGTAACTGCTGAAAGTGAGCTCTAAAGGAACAGAACTGTTGGGATTAACAAACAGCAGTGAACAAACAGTGAAACACCATCACCACAAAGGTAAAACGGCAGTGATATAATTTGGGGCTGAAAAATTTGAATTTCATCACAAAGAGGTCACAGGTTTGCTCGAGTGGCATCAGATCAACTCTTCTTTTTAACATTCAAATTAATCGTGTCAATAAATATCACATCTATAAACAAGGGTCACAATGGAAGACGAGTGGTTACATTTTTAGTGAGTGACATTTCGTGACATTTAGTCAACACATACTACAGACAGAAATCAACAATTACCACAGTTGATGGAAATGTCATCTTAGAAGGCATGCACAGCAAAGGCTCCATATTTAAGATTAGGCAAAATTAGAACAGAACAAAAAACATCCAAAAATAAAAAATATAGTCTTGTGTAATATTTTTCATGCACTGGAGCAAAGATATCCTTACTTAGATGACTGCAGGTGTGTTATTTGTGACAGTGCACGTTCATTACTGATTTAAGGGCAATGTGGTGAGCAGCTTTAGAAGCAATGGCAACCGAATAGAAGGCAATTAAGTACTGCACAGAAACAGAGGTAAACCTGAAATAACAAATGATCCCAAACACCTGGGTGTTAAAATACATTAAGAACATGCTTTGGGTAAGATACAGGTTGGAGATGCTAAAAAAACAAAAGGTGAGATAACACAACTGAAAGATATCAAACCTATTTATGAGCACTTATGATGAATAGCTGCAATCCGGTTTAGTTTATTCCTGCCTTTAGGTTTGTGATACCATGTAATTGCTTTTTTCGATTGAAAGTATTGTTACAGAGGAGAAGTTACAGTCACTTCATCCATTTCACCTCCTTTCATAAGACAAAAGATGTGTAATGAAGTCCTCAGACCTGTAGGCTGTGTTAAGGTACGCACAGTCTGTAGTCTCTTTCTCTTTTATGCTACCCTGTAAGCAGTCATGCGGGTGTAGTTCTTGCGGTGACTCCTAGCCGCCCACAGGAACAAAGCAGCTGCCATCATCTGCAGAGGGAAGGAGATGAGGGCGAGGTAGAGGGACCAGCCCAGCGAGCCCTCCACCCCTTCTGGTGGTGTGGAGTACTGGTGGAGCAAATCCACCCCCGCCAAGAAACAGCAGACAGTGCCCAAAGAGCACAGACCTGACAAGTAGAAGTAGAAACTGCGATGAATTTACGCACACACGTCAGTCTTAAAAAAAGTCTAAACTTCAGCTGGATTCTGGCACCAAGAAAACTCCAGCTGTGTTGAGCTCACTGAATCCCAGATCTATTTTTTAAATTACTAATGAGAAAAACTAATTTAATATTTAGTACACACAGGGTTTCATTCACGCACCGCATCATGGCAGACGCACGCCACCTCGTCTGAAATCAAGACCGTTCTAACTGATGTCAGACAAAGTTTTTACAGTTTTGTGAAATCTTAACATTAACCTTCCAAAGAAAGAGAACAAGGGTGCTACATCACACAGCAAAGGCCTCATACTTAATAAGCAAAGTGACTGTTTAGGTAACATGAGACGCATCAGGATCTGTGTGATTCACCATAGAAAGTGACAAACACTGACTGATTACATTGTGTGTTCTTTTGACAGTTACAATCAGAGCAGCAGCAGCAGAGACACAATGTTTGGCGATTAAGAAAACCTTCTGAGTTTTTGGTTTCTCAGAAAGGGAAAATACATTAATCTGTCAAACTCCAGTGAAAATGTTTTTAGTAAAAACTCACCTCACAAGCAGAAGAGCACAAGCATCACCGCCGATCAAACACCAGGCCGGAGTTAGTTTGAAGTTTTAATAATTACCAGCTGGATACATGTTATTGCAGGGGTATGCTCAAAATGAACTAGTTTATACAACGTGTCGTCCGACCACATTTAAAAGCAAAAGTGTTTCCAACTGCTGCAAACAGCCACACTTGAAGGCTGGGTGAACAGCCGGCCATCACAGAGAGGGAGTAAAAAGTCTATCCTGGAAGACGCTTTAAGTGTTGCACTACAGAAAAGTTACAGAAACTGTCAGATGAAGCCCCAAGTTTTGACCTGGAAGGGTGCGGGGGAGTGAAACCCACTGCTCTGCAGCTTTCTATGTAAACCCACTCACTGGTGGTGTTTGACCCACATTATCATGGTCAACGTGTGAGGATACGCCACTGTCCCATCTGTTCGGTTGCTGACACGTCATCACTCCAAAAAAAAAAAAAAAAAAAAAAGCTGATATTTTAATTACATTCACTGCCCTAGTTGGCACATCCCACCTACCATATGTACATATGCAGTGCAGCAGGTGAATGTTACAGGCTTGTGTGTTTACAAAGAAGTCTGCTTGACTGACAGTTCATCTTGAAGGCTGATGTTTGCACAAACTTCTGCATTTTGCCTAATTTCGTGTCTTGTTCATGTAACTGCTGAAATGTCACTTCAGAAACCTATGGGTGACATGGCAGATGGCATGTCAGTCTACACCAGCCCATGGTTTCAATAATGGTTTTGTAATACGCAGCGTTTCTCTCACCTGCTAGAAGATGGAGCACCCCCACACCCAAGGTGGGGGTGAAGCTGCGGCACAGGCAGGCGCAGACCCCGACGAGGCCGCTGAGGAAAACCAAGGCCAGAGACACCAGAGGCAGGAGAAACTGACATCTCCAGAGATCTGCACAAACCGACAATAACAACGGGATAAACGCTTAAAACCCACCTACAAAAACATTATCTAAGGTTCAAAGATGGAAGGTGCATGTAAAGACAGTAAAGGGAAGGAAACAGAGCAAGATGGTCACAGTTTGAGGTAAACAGGCTTTTGCTGGATGGAAAAATGGTAAATTTAATAACGTATTCACTTCAAGCAAAAAAAAAAAAAAATGCTGTGCTAGTCTTCAAGCCTGGAGCAAATGGGATAAAACTGAGACATGGTAAATTAAAGCACAACCTCAGAGGGTAGACTTACATGTTCTCAGCAGATCTTCCTCAGTGTTGTGGTTTCCAGGGTTTTTTAACTTTGGAATAAATTGCTGCGGAAGAGTGAAGCTCACACACTGGGTCTCCATCTTGGGATCTAAAAGGCAGAGAGCACAACGACTGAGCTGTCTTAATGATAATATATAGGATTTGATGTTGGACTAGGCAATAAGATGATATACTGTCTACCATGAGACGATAGTAAGCAAGCATCGGAGAATTATTTTTGCATTAATTCCATTTAGTACCTTCATATTTGGGTATTTCATTTGCTGTACAAGCCAGAAACAAACATAATCAGCTCATCAACTGGATGACTGCAACACTCACATCATATATCAGTATTATAATACTTATAATACTACACAACTAAAGCTTATAATGACAGAACTGCTGAAAGGGTCCATACCTGGCTCTTTAAACCAGTGGGACTGGCTGGGCACCAGGATGCACCTCCACCACAGTCCCAGAGTGCCGTTCAGACGGAACATGGTGTCACTGTAGGTCTTCTCATCAAACTCTCCATTGACGAACTCCTCTCTGAGCTCGGAGGCGTTGCTGCCCTCATGTTTTGCCGGCGGACTGTTGTACTGGTACCACTGCTGAGTCCCCACAGCCACAGACAGGTACACTGTGGCCAGAAGACTCAGCACCGAGCCGATGACCAGAGCTGTGGCATACCGATTATCTACCATGATCTAGAGGAAATCAGCTCGTTTTGATGTCTGTGTCTACAAGAGGAAAGCACTCACTGATTTAAAGTATATTATACAAAGTTTGGCTTTCACTCTGGCTGTGTGAAGACGCCTGGATTTTATTGTTAGAAACGATATTTCCGCTTGGTGTTTAGGCACCACGGCATGTCTGTAAACTATTGTCAACGAGTATGACAGTGTCACAGTATCCTGGCATTATACTTCATTGAGTCGTTTCAGTTTTGAGCTGCATTTTCAATCATGTCCCAAACACAGAGGCGCTCCTCCCAACCTGCAGAGAAGAATCATAGATACACAGGGGTTAATGTTTAGCTAATTTATAAACAAATGCTGTAATACATCCCGTTTGGCCGTCTGTTCAACTTTGCTGATAAGCTACAAAACTACGAGAAGTGCACTGAGTAATTATTCAGGAATATTTTTTAAACCGTTTCATGCCGCTAATAATAACAACAAAGACACCTCCTTCTTCGGTTGTATGACAAAGTTAGCATCTTACTAGCTAGCTGACGCCAATCATAGTTAGCTACAGCTGGCTGCACAATTACTGAGACCTTTAGCTGCGAATTAAACATTAACTAGCCTATTTGATTTAAGGTATATATTTTACCTCATCTCTGGAGAGTACACCGTAACATTAGCGCAAATAGCTGCGTTCATTACATTTCCGGCAGGCCTCCGCCCTCTTCTTCACTGTTAATAACTTTTCTTTTTTTCTTCTTTAACTTCTTCCTGGGTTTGATCTGCGGTTGGCAACCCGCTCATTAGGCACATTACCGCCACCTTCTGGTACAAAGTGAGGCCCACCAGATGCCCAGTTTGTTAATGAAGTCAAAGAAAATATTCTCTATATATAGAGAGACAATATAATGATACTACTACTACTACTACTACTACTAATAATAATAATAATAAAAATAATCATAAACTTTATTTATATATTACTTTTCTTAACAAAATTACAAACTGCTTTACAAAAGAAATACATTTACCACTTGAGAATGACAAAGTGGTCAGTGCACTTTAATGTCTTTATATTACAGCCTTGCTGTGTAACTATATAGTAGCCACCTATTAGAGCTAGACCGATAAATCATACCAGCCAATATTAGCTGGGTTTCAGCCTCAAAAATCCAGTATTTGGGAGGCTTCCTACCATCTCGAATGACTTATTCTGTTTAAGTCTGTTTAAGAACCTTCTTTCCTAAATCTGTTTATAAATGTTGAATTGATTGTTATAATTATATGCAGACATTCCCATTATGTGTATTGCCAGGCATTCGTTTCCAGTGTATTGCTGTCATCTTGTTAAAAGACTTAACTTCACAAGTGTTTCACAAGTATTTCTCGATTTTTATTTTTTGTAATGAAAGGCACACACTTAACAGGCACTAAAATCATACAGGTTGTATGCAATGTAATTTTAAAATGAATATAAGCTACAAATCAGCAGTCCCACAATGTATCCATGTTTTTTCATGAATATACATTGTGTTTCCCTGATGCATTTTTCACAGGTTGCTGTGCACTGGTAGAGCTTTAATTGGCAATGATCCCTTTTTGAAGAGAAGAAGAATGAGTGAGGTAGAGAAACCAACAGTTTATGGGACAGTAAAATATAGTATTTGCTTAAAAACACATTTCTTCACTTTTCATAGAGACAAATTCAATCATTGATGCCAAATCCCATATTAATCAACCTTTCACATAATACAGCTTTTTTCAGAATCAAGCTCACACAACAAGTGCTAATTTGGGACTGTACATCAGCGAATAGTGCAAATTAATTCATTTTGTGCAGCAGTGAGTTCCCTTATCATCACAACAAGTCCTCTTTAGTAAACAGTCCCCAGTGCTGTTTGTGATGAGAGGTGACTGTTGCATTCAGGATGGGGGTGTTGGTGAACTCCACAGTGCATGGCCCTGAGCTGCAGGGAGCCTCTTCTAGCTCCAGGACAGTCACGTTGTTGGGTGCTTCTGTGCTGAGGATGTTGGCAGGAACGAAAAGCGTCACCTGAGGGCCTCGAGCTGGCCAGTAACGTCCCAGATTGAAACCATTAATCCAGACCTGACCCTGAAAAACACAAATTTAGAGACAGATTAAGTAGTTGATTTTCATGCGCTTTAAGAATACACCAAACCCCGACCAAAACATTACTAAATATCCTCAATGGGTCACATGCCTTCCTCCATTTGGGCAGTTTGATGTAGGTGTCCTGAGGAAGGTCTGGGATACCATCAGGGATGATGAAGCTGCCCCCATAGAAGGCTGGAAGGGAGAGAGCAGCAGGCTGAGGAGGATCTGTTGGTGTACTCTCTTTTTCCCCGAGGAGGCCTTGGCTGACTGCTTCATCGATACTGAGACTATACATGGTCCAGCCAGTGAGTGTGTCTCTCCCCAGAGTCAGGTTCGACACCAAACCCTGTGATAAGAAGACGGGGGAGAGCAAGTAAACAGTAAGTTAGGAAAATAAACCGTTATGTCTCATATTTTTTATTCACACCTACATCCCAGCTTGTAATTAAGTATTAAGGAGTTTTACAACATATAATAATAGAATTTTATTGTAATTCAATCAAGTCTTACTGTTGTTAAACATTTAAACAAAAATAAAGCTTTGTGATAGTTAAACATACAACTATATTTCAACACACAAACAGTAACTTTGACGTATGTGGGGAGAAAAAAAACCTTGAAGTCATTGATCCGTTTCCCATAGTTGATTCGGCCCATGTTCTCCACCAGTATGTCCACCTGACTGCCAGCCTTCCCGGTCACATTTACAGTTATGGCTTTGTTCCTTTCAAGAATCCCTACAGACACCTTGAGGAGAAATCAGCAGTTAAATGGATAGATCTCAAATTTATATAATTTTTATAACATGTTTTTCTACAAAGCAACTTGTATGTTCAGTGTTCCATGTTGTCTAAACACAATCATCCATACAAGCACTTTGTCTGAATAAAACTGTCTAAAATTTGTAAAAATGATGATGGTGCTACGAAGACATTTTGGATGGTATCAATAATGTATCTAAGTTTAGTGATAAGCAATGTAAAAAAAATCTACAGCATTAAATCAAGAAGGCCTGTTAGGCAAACTCACCCCATCCACGGACACATACGCTCTATCGTGGACTCCGTTCAGTGGGGATGACAGTGGAGTCGGCGTGCTGCAGGTCACAGGTAGAGTAGTCCTGTAGAGCACATAAGCAAAAGCCTAAAGGACAGAGTGGAAAAATAAATAAATAAAAATCAATCGTTATCACTGGGAGATTTGAAAAAGAAAAATCAACTGAATGTTTTTTTACTACATAAAACACAAAAACATGAAAGGCTACCTGGTTCAGCTGGATGAAAGTCTGAGGATACATGCTTTTGACTGGGCCGGAGAAAGACAGTTTTTCTAAGGCATCTGATATCGTCTGGAGCTGAGGTGGGAGAGAGTCATGTTTTAACATTTATTCTTGATCTTTTAAATCATGAGACAAACAGTCTTTCAGTGGTGATTTACAATAAACAATATGTAATTCCTGGGTGAAGTTATAGGCTTTAATAATATAGTAAGGAGCTCACAGAAACACAGTGTCAGCTGGGAACTTACCTTCTTCATCCCAACAGTCCCGTAAGCATACTTTGGAGTTGTTGGTGGTATTGGTCCCTCTGGTATCTTACTGTGCTATTGTGGGATGACACATTAGTTCTTCTAGATGATAAGTTTACTCTTACTGGCAAAAAAAAAAAAGAGACTGCAAAAGTCTCTACTAGAGTACATACCATTTTGATCACTGCTCGGATGGCATAGTACTTCTCTGTGAGGTCTCCTGCTTCTGTGAGTGGAGCATTGTAGTCGTAGCTGGTGGGCTGTGAGCCATATGGTTCATTGGCACCTGAGAGTATTAACAGGCAATGAGAGCGTGAGTCACTTTTTGGGAACAAAGCAGCAACAAGTTGCCATTAACAACCAAACCAGTCTGTGCAAGTACGCTCACCATTCCAGTATCCAAAGTTTGTTCCTCCTATGAACATGTACCTGTGAGGAGAAACAGTTTAATAACTTCAAACTACAAACTTTTCCTTTATTTTTACAGTTAACATATGGGAGGGGAAATGGTGGGACACAACTACAGTTCAGTACCACATCATTTAATGTCCTGACTTGTCAGAGGCATCAAGTTCCAAAATAAATCCAGCTCCAGACTCAAAAAACAGATGAACGAAGATAAGATTATACTTCTGGACTGAGGGCATCACAGCGTTGCTCATGTCTCATTTAACTGCAAATTGGTAATGTTGAAAGGCATTTCCTCACATGATCCTATATTATTCCAGGTTCATAATTAATATTCCATATTTCTTTCCATATCAAGATTTTTCAAACCATTTACTATCCAAACATTAACTTCTGAAATGATTCTGCTAGCAGCCGAAATGGACCTTAGCTTCTGTCCAGCTGTGACCGCAGCAAGCAAAACAACATTCCTATCTATTGATATTGAATTAAACAGTTCTGTGTAGAAGAACTTGACTGATGGGCTGCAACCATGCCAGCAGAGATTACAGGAGCTTGGCTTCATTTTGTTAGTATGGATGGAGTAACATAATCTTGTTTATTTACAGATGTACTTTAATATAAACCCCTCATAACAGTATCCTAAATTTTTGAATTAGCTGATAAGCTCACAGAGAAAGCAACGGTCTTGTGGTGAATCGGCATATCTGTTGTTTAACTTCATCTGTTTGCATAAATGTGTCTAAACCTCTCCCAGAAATCTGTAGACTCACAGGTTGACGTTTGCTCCCATGGCCAGCATCTTATTCAGGGACTTGGCCACTGCGGCAGACGGCACGACAGAGTGAGGTGTTCCCCAGTGGTCCAGCCAGCCGGTGTAATATTCAGAGTTCACCTGATAATAAAAAAGATGCAACCCCATAAACTTCTGTAAGAAAATACTGTGTGTTGTCAAAATCAGAGATTACTAAATGCATCAGGGGAAATACTCGCCAAAGGTCCATGAGGTTCAGCGTGTCTCTGTGCCTCAAAGGCAGCGGTGATATTTGTACCTAGAACGAACAATGATAAACACATGTACTGTATTTGTGCAACTTCCTCATGACTTCTGACCAAATAAAGTGTGAAAATGAGTCAATGCAGAGAAAAAAAACACATAGCTCACAGTTAAATCAGAAACAATGCAAACTATATTCAATTTCATGTTGCATCTACAATTCAACTTTACCTGATTATATCTAACACACAAAGGCATTATTAGTATTGAAACGTAACCTGAAATACAAGTTTACCTTGTTATTTGATTTTCTTTTTACAGTCAACTTTTAATTCCCAACTCAAGTGTAAATGTCTTGTGTGCCATTCGCCATAAATTGCAGAATACTGGCTACATATGAGAGGTAACAACAGGACGCCTATATGAAGAAGATTTCTAGAAGAGCAATGTTTCTGACACGTACCAGGCCCAAAGTCAACAGTGGCGTAGAGATCTTGTATTGAGCCACACTTAAGATAGTTCAGCCCAGCCCCATCTGTAGTGAAGAGCACCACCTGCTCGCCCAGGTGAGACCGGAATAGCTTGGTCAGGTGACGCAGGTAGTTGTAGTCACAAGCGAAGTAGCTGCCGTATTCATTCTCCACCTACCAAAAAAGGGCACGACAGGAGGGAGATGTGATTTTCTATGTTGAATAAAGTGCTGTGATGATACGTAATGAACAGCAACAAACACAAATTCACTCACTTGCACCGAGATGATGGGACCATTGTTCTGATACAGATAAGGCTTTATCATAGGCAGCAACTTCCCCATCCACTTATCTACTGCTGCAATGTAATCTGAAAAACACAAATAGTAATGTCGTAAAGACTGCGGCATGCGATCCACTCGTCACTCCTCCTGTTTAACTTTGATTCTCACCTGGATCTGAAGACCGCAGCACAATGTCTTGCTTGTTGAGAAGCCAGGCAGGCAGCCCACCCTGTTTGACACAGTTGCACAAACAGTGATGACAAGATTGTTGTGTGTGATTTAAATGGCTTAATGCGTAAGAACAAACCATATCAGATAGAGTCTAAATGCAACCTAAATTCAGGTGATTACTGGACCTTAAGATATACAGTATCTCTAAGTATTAAAGACCTGTGTAGTTGAAAAGTGGATGTAAGAAGATTCAGTAAACCTCAGTGGAGAAAAATGACTGAGACTAAATTACACTCATCCTTCTGTACAAATGGTATGAAACAAACAGAAAATGATGTCACTGCAGAGGAAGTGGTATGTCTGGTTTATTTGATTTAGCTCTTGTCAAAGAGTATAATGCAGCACTGATACTGTAAAGTAAGAGTTTATTATTCTCTATTATTGGCTTTGAACACCCTTAAACACCAAGCTCTATATATTTTCTGATGGCCTTACTCACCATGTCCCACTCTGCACATATGTACGGTCCCGGCCGAAGGATGACCAGTAAACCAATGTCCTTGGCCAGCTGAAGGAAATGTTCCACATCCCTGTCTCCACTGAAACTGTACCGACCCGGAGACTCCTCGTGGAAGTTCCAGGGAATGTACCTTTAAGATGAACCAAGTATCAGTATAATCATGGTGATAGATTTAATAAACAACACAATGTTTTGTACAAATTGTAATCAGACCTCGCCAGAATAATCCACTAGAAACAAACAACACGAAAAATCACACTAAAGTAAGAGAGTGCACAGTCTGTCCATCAAATGCATTTTTGTCCAGACTTAATTCTATTTGTAAAAGCCTGTAGACTAGTTTTGTTGCCTTGTAAGCCTGTGTGATTCAGGATAGTGGCACCATAATACTGCAGGCTGCTCTTGAACGCAGTATTTCTGGCTTTGACGGCCATGTTAATCTCACCTGTCCAAAGTCTTTGCTGCTGATCTTGTGCGACCACTGGAGGTTTTATTTGTCACCTAAACAGTTATGTTAGGTGTAGGGGGCAGTGTGACGTACAGATTTACATAAAGACCAATGTCGTGCAGTTTATTTAATTCTGTCCACTATACTAATATAGTGAGGAAGTCAGTCTTAATGTGGCCTTTCAGAGTCTGGCCTGTTACTAGATGTGCAGCTCACAGATCCCCAAACTCACATCCTAGTGAATTTAAGTTAGCTAACTTTTCTTGACCTACATTTTAAAACATCTTCCCTGTGTAGCTTTCATATTAAAGTCAGCTGCAACATGACACACTCTCAACATCAGCCTGAGACTGAAACAACAAACCAAAGCCATCTGGGAGTGAGACATGAGGTGAACATACGTCTGGATGGCATTCAGTCCTGCCATGTACATCTTGAGCAGTCGATCTTTCCAGTAGACTCTGGGGATCCTGCTGTAATGGATGCTTCCTGATATGTAACGAAACTTTTCCCCATCTTTCCGAAAGCAGTCATCCTGGTAATCGATGCTGAATGAACGAGGAGCACTGAGCTGCAGATAAACACAATGCAAATCAAAACTACATTTATAGGTATTGCAGTGATCATCAGCTAAAGCTGTTTACATAGTGTTCCATTGTGTGATTGAAGTGTCATATTTTTTATGGCACAGGACTGACATGTCAGCTGATTTTATCATGTGCCACTCAAAATTGGCAGCCTTAGTTGTCTACTAAAGGTTGTGGATAACATGTCAATGTAAATAACTACAGTAAGCCAACATATTTTAAAATATTGTCATGTTAAAGGTGTTTTTAAAAGCCAGATCAGTATCGTGCACCGTTTAATACAGGTATTAATACATAGGCTGAAAAGTTTGACCTACAGATGGGGTTTGTTTTATTCAACTGACAATAGTTGAACATATGAAGGGCAACTATTTTTCACATAAGCCAACAGCACATTCATAACTCAAATATATTTTTTTATGTGGTGTTTGTTTGTGTTTTTAAATTCCTGTCAGTCTGAGATTGACTATGGGCTCTGAAGCTGTTTTGAATTGCGATGGAGGGGCTTTTTAAAAGCTTTTTTAAAAATCTAACCTGCAGCTGTGGGCCTTCAGCTCCCCACACTACTGAGAGCTAAGTATAAAACCTGTAAGAACTCAGTGGTACTTACTGATTGTCCAAACAGCAGCAGCAGCAGCAGTGTGCTTCCAGCTCTGAGCACAGACATGACTCTCCCCTCGGCCTGCTCTCCCGTTTCAAGCGACTAATTAAAATAATGCAGCTTTACATGCGGATCTTGCTTGGACACGGTCAGTTACAGTACTTACTTCCCTGAGTGCACTGAGGTGTTTTGAATGAGTGTGGCATCATGAGATGCGGAAGTCAGTCATGTGATACTATAACATTGTTGCGGTGAAAAAACCGCTCATCAGTAGGTGTCAGTGTTGTGCACTTTATATCATATATACTGTATGAATCGAGTGAACAGATGAAGATACTAATAATACTAATACAAAATTAAAACAGATAATAGAAAAGAAAATTGGTCAAAACAAAAAAAAAGAAATGCAGTCAATGATCCAATAATAGCTAGAAGAAAGAGAGCATTCATGCTTCAGTTCATTTGCAGTACCGACTCCAGACCGACAGGGGGCGGTACTGGGCTCCCCACGTTGTTTACTATCCGGGTATTGACTCGGAAACAGAGCAACGTACACATCGCAGGCGGTGTTCACACGTGGGTACAGAAGTTTATCAGAGTAATGTGGTGTAGTGAACTTCATTAAAAAACATGTCGAGGAGGCAAAGAGCTATTCCAGAAGAAAAGACCACTTCTGAAGTGGGACACACGGAGGAGGAGGAGGTCGTGGATCCGCCGCCGGAGACCAGACGGACACGCAGCGGGCGCACAGTCCGCACTCCTGCTGCACTGCTAGGCTCTGAAGCCACGGTGAGGACTCCCAGCAGGAGGACCAGGAGATCTGTGCTACAGGAGCTGCCGGCGGTGGAAGAGAAAAACACGGAGGAGCCAGAGCGGAAACCCGAGGAGAAGTCCAGCATGCCCGCTGAAACGGAACCGTGCATCGTGTCAGACCCAGCAGGCAGAGCCGACGTTACCGGCAGCGGAGACGATCATCTGCCCAGGCCTGCACCGACAGAAGCGGCCCCCGCGAGTCCAGAGATCGTACCAGAGAAGAAGCCTCGTCTGGCTCCAAGTGAGACACAAAATCCGGTCATTCCGCTGGGAAAACCGAAATCTGGAAGAGTGTGGAAGGACCGCAGCAAGCAGAGGTGAAGAAAAACATGGAGCCAGGATTCTTTTCAGTGCACAAACCTCAGAGTTGTCTGATTATGGAAATATGCTTTCCCTCATGAAGTCAAAGGATTGTGAATTAATTTGTATGCCTAGTAGCCTGGTTATTGGGCCACTTACACCCTGCACCATGTTGTGTTAAAGGCTTTTCAATGTGTTAATGGGCAGCCCTCATACAGAAATTGAAAAGCAGCTTTAGGACCAAAAGTTAGCGTTGAAGAGCCCGTTTTAGTCATTCAGTGTGCAAGATTGCTGCTGAAATATGGATTTCTCTTGAGTATTGACAGCACTAGGTCATTAACAGCAAGTATGAATAACTGTCATGTATTCAAAGTTGGCTACTTTGTCAAAATCTCTCAATTGATTAAATGTTATTCTGTTATTTCAATGTTACACTACTTTGGTATTGACACAAAAAACTCAGGTGTCATTGGCAAACTGTACTGACTTTGTCCAGTGAAATCCAGCTCTCCATAGGGAATGTGAATATATGTGACAAGTCTTTTATATGATCAATTAACTAAATTATTATTTTTTACTTCCAGGTTCTCTGCGTTGGTGAGAGATAAGCCGTTGTGCACCTCTTGGGAAAAGAAGATGCAGGCCAAGCGAGAGAAGGAACTTGTGAAAAAATATTCTTTGCAACTGAAAGAGGAGCAAGCCAAACAGAAAGAGGTAAACTAAAGCTGTATGATGCAGGTCTGCCTGACCACTGAAAGCTCTTGCACCCTTTGACCTATTCTGTTTTTTCCTGCCTGGCTAGGAAAAGAGGAAAAGGAGAGAGGACAACTTGAAACGACGTGCGGAGAATGAACGCAAAGCAGAGATTGTGCAAGTGGTATGTCGACTGTTGTTCATACAAGTGCTGTTCAGTCAAATGTAGAAGACATTCATCCAGATAACAGATACACAGCATTTCTGGATTTCTACATAGTGTCTGTAGAATATGAAGACTTAAACTGTATTACACAGGGTTCATACTGTGCAATATAGCAGCAGGCTACATTGGATCGGTAACACATGTCCATGAATGAAGCCACTCATTGATACTTACTTTACTGCACAATATGAACATGAATGTATTAAGATTCACAGGGGTGATTTGATGCATGACAAGCTCATTCTGCTTCTATAAAGAGCACTGGCAGCTGAGAGACAACTGTGGAGAAGTGAAGCAATAATACTGTAAATAAAGGGCTGAGTGGACTGTACCATGCCCACTCACCTCTTACTACGGAAGAGTCACCTACTAGTTACCTCCACACCTCTAATTAGTAAAAAAAAAAAAAAAAGTTAATTAAATTCAATAAGCCTCTTTTTAAATAATGCGACAAGTCGCTTTAAGAATTTTTTCCTGTCAAAAATGAGTACAAGCACAAAATACATGTTCAACACCGTACATAACAGTTTTTGGGTCAGGTATGATTTAATTTTTATCACATCAGTTTTTACAAATCCAAGTGAGAAGCAAAGCGATAAACGTCTGTCAGTTAGCCCAGACTACAATTTGTACAATACTGAAATAATTAAAATTGAAAACAGTGGATAATTGGTCAACATTAGCATACATAATCTTTCTGTTGGTAAGCTGGCGTCCTGTTTATTTTCTCCTGTCTCATTTGTGTCACAGATCCGGAACACAACAAAGATCAAGAGGATGAAGAAGAAGCAACTCAGAAAAATAGAGAAGAGAGACACACTGGCTCTGCTGCAGAAGTCACAGAAGCAGATCGGAAAAGCCAAAGGGCAAAAAAGCAACAATGCTGACAAAGATTTAACCTAAAGACTGAGATAATAAAAATACATCAATTCAGTACTTTGCCTAAAAGTCTTATATTTGAATGTCGGAAATACAACAAACACAACCAGACACATTTCTCTCAGAGGACTTATTTACACATTAACCCAAGAAAACTTTTCTAAATAAATATAGTAAATAGTAAAAATAACTTTTTGTTGTTTTTTTCCTATTATTGTTTTCCTTATTGCCCTGTTATCTTGCCATTAAAACATCTCATATGACCAACTTTGTTTCACATATATTAAATAAAATTTTAATTTTTTACTGTTCATCAAACTGTCACACTAATTGATGGCCAGGAAAGCTGCTCACAAGGTGAAAAAACTACACCAAAGGTGTGCTGGCATTTGTACCATTAGCACAGCCATAGTGTTAAAGTGGAAGAAGTTCTTTTCCATTATTGAGTCTAGGGTTCCTGGGTATAGTGTCATTTAAATACATTAATACATCTCAGTTTATTCTGAAATCTCGCCTCATTAATTGCACAATACACATAATAAAAACTGTCAGTGTTAAAGTCACAGTAGATTTACTGTAGAGCACAACTGAAAAATCAAAGAATCCTTATCAAATGGGTGTCTTTACGTCACACGTTCATGTTAAAAATAAATACTGGTAGATGTGTCTTGTTAATAGAGTTTTCTGGTTCTCAAATCAGTATCGTGTCTGCCTCAAAGAGCCTGTATCAATTGGGCTACAGTTTATTGTTAGTCAATTCAATACTGTCACCTGGGGTCAGCAAAAGACCACACAAGCTACTGTTGGTGGTAAATCACTAAAGGCATTTGTGGTATGCTCAGAAACATATTTATTCTGATAAGGCACACTATCACCTTGATAAATATAATGCTAAGATGGAGCAGTTAAGCGTGTACTTAAAATTCTTAACCGCAGAAGTGCAATAGTTTGAAAATTTTACAAAGGATGATTTATCGAGCCCAAAAAGAGCTTCTTAATATAGTAAAAAATACATGCAAGGTGCTGCATAGAGAAGGCATTTGACTCAAGTAAACTTCAAGTCTTCATGCCAGAACAGAATTCACCTACTGTGTGTAGTATAGACCAGGTTCATACATTCATGGTCATCACACACACCCCCAGGTGATACTTCCTGAAAAAACACAAAAGTCATCCAGGTATGGTCATTTGCACAAAGCTCTAATGTTGCATGCAATGTTGTTGCTAATGCATTTTTCAGCTTTAGCATCTGGTTATCTCAAGGTCCTGCTGTACACATCCCGTCATTATTAATGTAGAAGAGCTACTTTTTTCCATTTTTCTTTCATGCTGATGCAATTCAGCCCATAAGCATACACAGAAAGCACAGTATAAGGTTGTTGTGTTTCTTTCATGGGCCTAAACAGGACAATTAATCCGTTTAAACGAATTTATCTATATAATCAAAACAACTGGGTATCTTCCAAATGTTCAGTCTTTTTAGTACCAAATTCCATCTTTTTGTTTCCCCAGACAGTGATTCTGTAATGAGCTTCAGTGGAGGGAAAGTAGCACAAAATGAGTTTTACTGGATTTTGTTCCCCACCACTTACACTGGACCTGCTTGAAGGGATTTCTTTAGGGCCAGTATGGACAGGAGGAATGATTACAGCAAGCAAAGCACCAGTTTTAGTGGTCACGTGGGCTCCTGACTTTTGTTTAAAGATAGACTTGTGGTCCTTTAACATTCACTTTGAGTGCATTGTGTGTGTAAACAACTGATTCATAAATGATCTAATTCTTTCTAGAAAACGGATCAGCAACATTTTTTTAAATTAATTCACTAGTTCAGTAATTTTTTATGCAAACATGACAAACATTTGCTGCAACCAGCCACTCAAATGTGAGGATTTTATGCTTTTCTTTGTCAGCTACTAAACTGAATATGTTTGAGTTTTGGACTATGGGACAAAACAAGCTATTTTAAGGTATCAAAGGTGGTTTATTACAATTAATCCTGAAATAATCAGCAGATGAATCAACAGTTCCTAAATTTTTAGTCTCTACAGTGTGTGGGAGTTTTGGGTGGGACACTGTGTCCAATGTTCAACATACTGTTTATTTTTCAATGTGTCAAGAGTCTTCGTCATGGGACCAAGTGACTGTTTGGTTTATGGTTCACAGCATTTACAAAGCAAACACTGGACAGAAATGCATTTTTATGGTTTAGGTTCTGTGCAACACATCAACGCATTTGAATAAAATTAACTATTAGATTAAAGTCAAACTGTAATTTTCATAGAGGAAATA